TAGCGTGGGGTGTAGAGATGGGGGAGGAGATGTGCACGTGGGAGGAGCTGGGGCGTAGAGTGTGGAGAGGGGATGTGCATGGGGGGGAGAGATGGGGGAGGGGATGTGAACGTGGGGGGGGGGAGCCGAGGCGTAGAGTGGGGGGGATGTGAACGGGGGGGGCGGGGCAAGCCGTGGGGCTCAGCATAGGGGGAGGGGATGTGTCCAGTGGCAGCATGAAATGGCTGCTCCGTGCCCTGCTTGCTGGGTTGCCGGGGGAGCGCACGGCTGGGCTTCCCCCTAATAAGATTAGGAGCTTGTAATCAAACAATTTCTCCTCTTGGTGACATGTTATAATTTTTGTGAGTAAATAATTCTAAGTGCTGCGCTCCCTGCCCGTCGGGCCTGCAACAGGGACGCCCCTCAGCGCTGCACAGACAGTGAGGGTGGCACGCGCTAACTCAGCATGCTGCCTGGCAGTGCCAAGGCAGCGCCCCCATGCTCCTGGCTGACGGGGGATTTGTGAACTTCTGGCATGGCCCTCTACCCAGCACGCTGCCCTCCCTCTGCCCACACCCCTGCCTGCCTCGCCTGCTGCCCAGGCCCATGGCTCCAGGGGACCCGGGGAGGGGACCCTGCTCATGGAGGGTTCTGGGTGCAGCTGGCATCTGCGGTGTCCCCGCTGCTCCTGGGACGGCCCCGGGACGCTGTGCTGTTCTGCTGTCGCTAATTCCCCTCCCTGTCTCTCCCCGGGGCAGTCCCTGCGCCGCCTGATGGAAGCGGAGAAGGTGAAAGGCTTTTGCCAGGTCGTGATCTCGTCCAACCTGCGGGATGGCGTGTCCCACCTCATCCAGTCCAGCGGGCTCGGTGGCCTGCAGCACAACACTGTGCTGGTGGGGTGGCCACGCAACTGGCGGCAGAAGGAAGATCACCAGACCTGGAGGAACTTCATTGGTATGAGCCAGCCTGGGGGCCCGTGACTCTGAGCAGGGTTCACGGCCACCGCCCGGTCCCGCACGTGCGGATCTGGAGCTGGGGGGAGCAGGAGGGGAGGGGACAAACCAGCAGTGCCTGGTGCTGTGTAAACCCTCAATTAGCCCAGGAGGCTGTGGGGAGGGAGGGGGGGCAGCAGGGCTGTGGGCCGGGAGGCGGGGGCAGAGGCAGGGCTGTGGGTCGAGGGGGGTAGCAGCATGGCTCTGGGCCGGGAGGCGGGGGCAGCGGCAGGGCTGTGGGTCGGAAGTGGCGGGCAGGACTGGTGTAGCAGGGCTGTGGGTCAGGGGGGCAGCGGCAGGGCTGTGGGTCGGGAGGGTGGGGCAGAGGCAGGGCTGGCGTAGCAGGGCTGTGGGTCGGGGGGGCGAGAGGCAGGGCTGTGGGTTGGGATGGGGGCAGGGCTGGCGTAGCAGGGCTGTGGGTCGGGGGGGCGAGAGGCAGGGCTGTGGGTTGGGATGGGGGCAGGGCTGGCGTAGCAGGGCTGTGGGTCGGGGGGG